AAAAAAAAAGTCACAATAACAAATCAAACTTCTGTCTAACCTTCGCTATTTTCGGTTTATCTCACCAAAAATGCCATATTCCTATTTAAGGGAAAAGCAACAGGCTTTACCCTGTTTTACATTGGTTAGTCTCACCTGACAAGCTGACTCAGGAGGAACTACACCAATTCTGAGTATAGGTGGCTTAAAAGCAGACTCCTTGTTAATGTATGGGATATTCGAAAGACTGCATATGGCTAAGGCAACACACCCCTAAGAGCAATCACCATCCCTGATCCTTAAGAAAAGCATGCAGCAAAGTGGTATCACTTCCTAGGTGACTCCTAAAAAGAGGGAGCTATTTTGGGGTGCCGAGTGAGTTTTCTCACCTTTTTTTTTTTTTTTTCCTCTCCAAGTGGGGAAAGAAATCTTCAGAAAGGAACACAGACAAACTGGAGAAACCCAGATCACGGTATTATACTTGAAAAAACCACATCCCACCTCACTGCGCAGACAGCTGGAGACAACCTGCACCCAAGAGTACACCACCTCCCCGCTTTGGTGTTCATTTTTCCTGATGGCAAGGTGTGCTTCTGCTTCTTGCTAAAGTATGTACAGGCATGAAGCTTTCAAACTTTAAGGTGTCCTAAAGTTTGGGGTCCAAGTGAATTCAATTAACAAAAGGAAACATGAATACCACCATTCTTGTTTTCTAAGCTCATTTGCAGTTATAGTCTGTCTGCTAAGAGCTCCTGACAGCAGAAAGGTCCATCACTGGAAAGCTGTCACATGAGATGCCTGTATGATGTTTGGGTGCCAGAGCTGAGCAGAACAGGCCACTTGGAGTTGGCCCCCATTCAACAAGCAAGATTTTGAAATAAACAGCTATGGGTCTTTCTTTTTTTTTTTTTTTTTTTTAACTAGGCACACACAAACCTGTCTTCAGCTGCTAACCTTAATATATTACTCATTCTTCCTTTCAAATAACGTCATGTTCAAAACCTCAGTGACTGCAGAATATTTACTTGAGGCTGCTACTGCTGGTTTCTCTAGAATTGTTTATTTTTCCATGCATGAGCTCATTACATCACTCTGTGGTTTTCTTAAAGGTTGTCAGGGTAAGCTGGATACAGGCTGGAATCTCTTGCTAACTAAAACCAAATCACTAAGTAGCACAAATGGATTTGGAGATAACCCAACTCTGGAAATAAGGAACAACCATGGACTCCTCAGTGGAGACGGGGTGCTCCCAAAAAGGCAGTCATTAGATTTATTTTCTTGGAAGTGGGACACGTAATCAAGCATTTTCCCACATTAAGAACTGTATAAGGATAATCATTCAGACTGTTGCAGGCTGAGTTGGGGGGCAGAGGTAGGGAAACACGAGGCTGAAACATTAAAAGTAGAATGGAAAGACAGTTTCCACCCATGCTGATTAGAGAACGGCCACTGCAAAGGTCTCACCTGTATTGCCTCCTGCTCTGGCAGTGTTACAAATAAATGACACATCTCAGAGGGCAGTGCTAAATAATAGGCTTAGTCCAGGGTATCCATGTGCGTGCACACATGAGTGTGAGTGTTTGGGGAACGCAAAAATCAATTCAAAATGAATATAAAAATATCGGGTTTGTCATCTTGCCACAGCTAACAAAATATTCTGTTGATCTGGATCTTTCACTTGCCCTGAAAAAAAATTGACTTTGAGGCTTTTAGGATTCATAAAGGCAGGAGACTTAGTTCACAAGTGTAGAAAACCAATAACTCTTCTGCCTCTCAACAATCCAGATGTTAGAACATGCTGATATTTTGGTTCCTGCCTCTGGCCGAGAAGACGTGAACCTACTTCTCACCCTACTGAGAAAGAGATCATCTCACTCTTTAAGGCTGGCTGGGGTAACAGCACTAGAAATCCCTCCTAGCAATGCTATTTTACTTAGCATAGAAAAATTTACTGGCAAAATGCCTGGAGACATATAGATTCTCAGTCAAGTGCTCTAATGGCCAGGCTAGAGTCATTCTGCTTTTCCTGGTCTCTAGCTTAATTCGTATTTACACATGCCAAGCAAAACACAAACACTCAACCGAGAGAGGGCTGCTTCAGGAGACGCTCCTCTGTTTGTCAACACTAAACGGAAGGTCGAACACTCAGATTTCAAATGCAGCTCTTACAGATGCAGACTCCGTAACGCAACACGGCGTGTCACCAGCTCTGCAATGCTCGGCTGCCTTGGGGGTGGTTCACTCTGAAGCCTGACATTGAACGGAGACAATGACAGCAAATTTACTTCCATATAGCAATTCTTAAATTCTTCTCATGGTCGATCTAGTGGTGGTGCTAGCTTTCCAAGATGTCCAATGTCAGTGCTGATTAGAGAGCTGCACACATCCTCTGACAGTAGCATCTACTGGACTTCACTGCAAAGGACAGGGCTAGATAACCACCGCAGAGAGGAGAAAGATCAGAGTTACATGTTTCAGTATACAAGCTCCAGTATTAAGGGCAGGCTTTCAAGAACTCCAAACTAATGAAAAAGAACAGAAATAAAAGAAGAGTTAGTTTGGAAATTACAAAAAGAAAAATTCTGAGATTGAGTTCAGACAGCAGAGCAGCTTCCTGTGCGAAGAAGTGAAATCTTTATTGCCTAAGGCACGCACGCCACACTAGAAAATGCAGCTCTTCATACAGTGCAAACATTCCCTAGCCCTAAGGCAACAGATTAGATGACCTTCTAGGTCTTTTCTCACTTCTAATTTCAGTGATCCCATTATATTGCTGCAAGAGGACATCAAGCTCTATCTGCTTCAAGCCAGTAAGTGCAAGCTCAGAGAAACAATATACCTGAGTGAATACCAAAACCAAAAATCCAATCTCACGCTAGTGGAACTTACCTTAACCCTTTAAAAATAAATGAAAAATCAGAAATGTGCTGAGCATTAATATTTCAAGCTGACAAAGGCAAAAAGGAATTAAAAACATCCCCTATTTTTGCATGACCATCTCATGACAGCTGTTGCATCATCTTTAGCCAAGACAGATTTGAAGACATTTAAAAGGACACAATTTTAAATGATAATTATCCTTCCTAGCTCTCTGTCATTCAATCCTACCTACCCTACATTGATTTTTAACGTATATGACAAACGATGAAAGGAATAAAAGGTGCCAAACAAAGGCATTAGGCTTTGCTGGTTGAAAGAAACAGACTGAAGTTGCTTGCACCTAATATCAGCTAAAGCACAGCCCTGTTCTGATGAGGCAGCATTTCTTGGTATCAATAATTTGGTATAAGAAATGGAGATGACTGCACTTATATGGCCTAATGTGAAAATCTGGGGATAAAAATTGGCAGCCCAGTCTCTTCGTGAGATCCTACAGCAAATGAGTGTCTGCCAAGGCAGTCAGTAAGACTGAGTCAGACGAAACACACACCTCCTTTTAACTTGCTGTAGAAACTACCTCTTACGGAACCTCCTGAATTTTCCAGAAGATAGTTCATTTTTTATTTGTAGCATGCACCCACAATAATCTTGTTTGAATAACAGAAATTACATCAGAACCAATGGGGGGAGGGGGAGGAAGTGGACAAAAGTAAACCCATAATATGAACTCTTCCATGAACAAAACTCTGGTTTAGAGCAGGCAGCTTCCTGACAAAATGAGCAAATTAATTGCCTTTACAACATGAAAGCCAGTGTAATTTGGCTCTGTCAGGCCAGGAAACGTTACAAGATAGGTTCTCAAGTGAAAGACCTTCCTGCTCCCACACCCCTTTGTAGCCTCGTGGAACCCAGATCTGTGGAACATCCAGCAGCTCACAGCACACAAGTAGCATTTGCTTTCCCATGAACACCATCCTTAGATCATCTGCAGCTTCTGGATGATTCCCACTGGCAGCTTCTACACAGACAACCCTGCTACAAAAACACTCAGGAGGTGAGGCACAGGGGACTGTTGCTATAATTGGGGCCTGAGCAACGATGGATGTGCTCCTGCTAAGAGTGCTTTGTCCCTCTGCTATTGAGAAGCAGCACAGGAAGGTTATGTTTGCTTCTGAGTGCCATGACTGCTCTCTGGCTAATCCAGAAATACCAGGTGACAAGGTACTACAAACCATCACATCTTATCTATTCTGGGGACAGGAGTTATTTCCAACAGCTGTTCTAGGCATATGTTGTTCCGTAAAATACATGCAATATTAGCAGCTGATGTTTAAACCTTAAAGTAAAACCATGGCCTCTTAAGGAAATTTTCTTTTGACATTCTCTTACCTTCTCTGCCTTTCTCCCACTTCAGTTAAAAATATATCAGATGGAAACCATACTTATTGAGAATTCCTAACTTCCCTCTTGAGATTCTTCCTATTTGTTGTGATTTCAGTGACTCCACACAGATTCACATCCTAAGTCCACACCTTCCTGCTCCCCACTTTTCCCACTCATGTCTATGATCTTCGCTCTTTTCATGCTTGAGTCTTCCCTCATTCACTGTATTACCCACAAAAATAATCTCAACATTTACTTAGGTCCAGACTTAAGTGACCTACTTTCAGTTGTGAAATAATCCAATCATTTCTCTATCAAAAAATATCCCCTGCAGAGAATAATCCTGAAGTTGCTAGAAAAGAATCCCTTCTCTGTATTTTCTCAATTGCTTAGACCAAAACCACAGCCCACATTTCAGAGCCAAATGCATCAATTTGTACGTCCATGAAAGACTGCTAAACAGCAAACAGAATAAAGACGACAGCTGGGCGGGATGAACTAACAGCAGAAGAAATTAGAGGTTCCCCACTTATGGTTTGGGGAAACAGAAACATCCATCATCACGCGTCGACTGTGGCCTTCTGGACACAAAAAAGGATGCTATCTAACATTATTTTACAGCTCATACTTCAAGTCCTGCAACACTAAAAATCAGCAGGATAGCTACAACAAAGCTACAGTGAAATAAGAACAGACAGTGAGGGACTGCAGCCTAGTTAAAATAAACCTTTTTTTTTGTTGTTTAGATGGAACTTTACCTGAATTTCTTATACTGGAGCTGTTCAGTTTGGAATCTTTGATGACCAAGTGCTTAATCCAAAGTGTGGGTGCTGTGATTTCTGAAAGAGAAAAAAAAATCCTGCCTTAAACCACATAAACTAGTGAATATATAGCATTGTTACTCATGAGGACAAGGTGTTTGCCTCAATCATGCCTTAACTGATCCATCACCTCTGTAGAAGAGATCAGCTCATCCCCTGGTAAGGTCTTTTTCTGAATCCCTATCTGTAAATCTTCCACAAGGTTATCTCATTATCTTCCCATTCCAGAGAGTAACTCTCTGACGGCAATACTTCTTTTTTATTTTTCTTTCCTCTCTGTCTCCCTCACGTCCTATATTCTCCAGTCTAAAGTCATTCTCCTCAAGACTTGGAGTTCTCAAAGTATGTACTAGTTTCCACTAGAGTATGTACGAAACCCAGACTAATAAAAAAACCAAAAAAGTCATTCCAGACCTTAAATATTGCTTTCACAGCTCAAGAAGAGCTGACCACCATGTGCTCCCTCAAACAAGCAACAACAAAATCTGAAATAAATGGCAGAGAAATTAAGACGTTTCTGGAAAGACTTGAAAGGAAGTCTGTTAACGGAACAACTTCTGGTTAGAAAAGTATGTCTGATGCACTACAACCAAGGCATCTAAACTTAAATTTGTGGAATAAGAGGTTATTAGAGCACCTCCTCCGAGGCATTACAATCAACTTCAAAACACAGCAGAACCTGCCCTAAGCCACAGAAATGACACAACATCAGCATTTGATTAGAACTGAGCACAAGGAGCACTTGATACTATGGCCTAGAGCTCCTAAAGTGACATTTCCAGACCTGGTATTTTCCCCAAAAATTTCAGGTTCCACAAGGTCATGCCTTAAATACTAGATCCTGGAGTTCATCTTAAGTTCCTCTAAGTCTTTTACAAGAGTTTTCGTGCTCCCTTTTTGACATTTACATGGGTCTGCTTCAAGGGAGAAGCTGGCTGACTACAAGAAAAACTGATTATACTTCATATGAGAACAAAGGAAAAATGAAAGGGAATTTTTCCTTCCTAAATGTTTTTAGCTACATTGATTTTAGGCATTATTGTAACCATATTCAGTGTACTTTTTCATATGGAAATACAGGTTGAACACCAATATCACAGCAGTAGTAAAAGTTTGCTTAACAAAGCCTGCCTTTGCAGGTTTCACTACACTATCATTAGTCAGTCATGATGTGCTCCTATAAATACATATATCTATATATTTTGGGTTTTTTGGGGGGGATAATTACATCAAATTCAACACTGGGTGAAAGATAGGAAGGGGAGAAGCACAAAAGTAGAAAAAGTCCACAAAGAAAAGTGCTAGATCCAAACTCCTAAATCTGGGATGAAACTGAGCTCTGATTCTGCACTGTATAGACTCAGTATCCCTGCAGCTGAAAAACGAGGGACAATCAAAATCAATAGATGCCAAAGAATGGGTCAAGGCCTTTAGAGACACAATGGTGTGTAACTTTAAGTGAGGCTGAAAGGTGCAAAAAAAAATCATTGTGAGAAAAGAGGAGAAAAGGAAATGAATGCTTTGGGATCTACCATAAAAATGCACTTTCCATCCAATTAATTAATAAAGGTAAGCAGCATAGACTTCTCTGAACAATAGATCTCCGAAAAGAGTGGATTCCCACTGAGTTAAGAGGTGAAGCTTAACAAAAAGAGAAGATGTTGAGTTATTCTTTAGGAATTGCATACGACTTCCACACTGAAACTAAATAGAGGGTGGTTGCAAAGAAAATAGTCTAGAAGTGCAGGAGGAATAAAACTTCTTTAAATTTAAAACTATAGCAATGACCATTAATGAAATACTCTTCTGCAGAGGAGAATTTTGTCTTAAGAGGAGATTCACTATAAATATCACTGAGATCTGCATTGTAATGAAGTGAAATAATTTTTTAAGAGATGGCTGCTTTATGATTCAAATCTTGGACAGGAGAGTTTAAGTTATCTGATCTATATTATCTCTGGCACTGCTCTGTTATGCCCTCAGGGAAGATGGTAGGGAGTGGGAGGGAAACTTATTAAGCCTGAAATGTGAATTTTTATTATCCTCTAATGTAGGCAAAAACATAAGTAAGCTGAACCTTCATCTCAGTGATGATGAGGTCCAAGAGGGGCCACACATTTCAGAGGCAGCTGAGTGTATTTAATGCCCTTTGAAAAAAGCCAGTCCCTTGTGGATTGAAAGAAGGCACCCTAAAAAAAAGGCATGAAAAGAAATTCCAGATTCTGATTGTCTGCTTGTGTTGTTATCAGGTCCACCCTGGCTGCCTGACTTGGAACATATAGCTTTCAGGAGCCGAGCAGATCTCAAACCCACTGAAAGTGAATGGGATTTGGACTTTAACTCCTTTGAGCATCTATGAAGAATCCAGACCTGACAGGTGAACGGATAATCATTTTGTCCTTTACTGTCATCTGACATTTGTTTTAGACATCAAGTATGAGCCACTCCTCAGGAAGACCAACGCAAGACACTGGGAGAATATTCTAGCATAGATGACATGTTTGTTAAAGATAGAATCAAGGGACTGCTTAGAACGACATCTTGAGGTGCCCAGTCCAATCTTCTGCTCCAGACAGGTTCCACTAATAACAGACCAGGTTGCTCACTGCTTTATCCAACTGGCTCAGAAAAGAAGGAGAGAATATCACATCTCAGTGTCATCTGTTCCACTGCCTCATTGCTCTCATGGTGACTTAAGTTTTTCCGTATATCCAGTCCAAACATTTTGTTTAGACTTACGACTTCTGTCTCTCATCACACATTACTGTGAAGAGTCTGGCTCCATCTTCTTGATAAACTTCCCTGTAGGTATTGGATGGCTGCTATTAGGTCACCTTTAAGTCTTCTCTTCTTCAGACTAAATGCTTCTTACACTCTTCCTGATGTACCCACTTTAAGGCACTGTTGGAGACAGTACCCCTGGAAGTAGCAGATTACACAAACTTTTGGTCAGACCCATAATGGATTCTCTTGTGCTTATTGTTACAACTGCCACTAAAATCTAGTTAGTCTTATTTTACTAAGAGTGATGACAAAAATACAGAGTGACAAACTTAGCAGAGGTTATTCACCGATGCATAGTCTGATTAACCTGCCTGTCATATTCTCTTCTGCCAAGTCATAAGGGACACTGCTAATACAACAGGAAGCCATTGCATTAGTTATTCTCTCTAGAAGTCTAGGAGATAAGGTTTTCTATAATATACTGCAAGATATGTGAGAGGCAATCATTCATCGTACAGTCCGAGCCCCATTGTAGGATTTGATTTCCCCTATAAATTGATACAAAGGTATTTGATTGAAAATGTTTTTCATGGAAAGACAGGATGTTTTTCAGACTCACCACAAGCAACAGAAAACAGTCTGTTCACTACACCATTTCTCAATAACTTTGCCCAGTTCTATTTGAATTACTAAAATTTTGAGTCTCTCCTAGAAGGAGCTTCTGAACAGATTGTATTAACCAGATCAGCTCACTCCTGCATTTTGCTAGCGCAGTCTTTCATTTTACTATCTATGGGCACCCTCTCAGGGGAAAACCTAAAGGCCACAAGTTTGTGATTACAAACAGCAATTTAATACAACATCAGATTGCTGCTAGGAGGAGCTTTCTTTTGATAAAAACAAGAGATAGTCAAGCATGGCTTCAGTCTCCTTTGTTTATCCGAGAATGCTTTTTACTCTGAGGGCTTTGCTTTGTTTATTAAAGCTCAGAAGAGTCTTACAAATCTATGATCACTAGATGCAAGCAACAAGAATAGAGCATCTTACTATTAATAAGCTTATTTAGCAATGACAATAAAAAAAACCCCACACCATCACCTGTTTTTACAAGAAGGCAGAAGGTGTCGACAGCATCACCTCTCTTGCTCACTAGTCTCCATTCCTGCCTTTGATCCAGTTATAAAAACAAGTATCAGGTACACAAGTTCAATATTGAAGCACACAGGTTTTCCCTCACTGCCTCAGAGTCCAACAGAGTGGTCTGGACTTCAGCCCACAGCTTGACTACAATGGTTGTGGGTTTAAATCTGTAGAAGTCATGCACTAACTCCAAGCTTTATGCAAGGTATAGGCCTGTTCACTACCCAAGAACCACTATCCCCACTGGTTTTTATGTTTGTACGCATAAAAGCCCTGAACCCTCCGCGATGACAGCCATTTCATCCTTGTTTCAAGGCTTTCAATGGATTAGGGTCCGATATTCCCTCTCCAAAATAATACAATTGCAAGACCAGCACATTTGAGAAGGAAACTGCCTTGGTGGGCTGTGAATTAAGTGGGCCCAGGACACAGACTTCATTTGCTTAAATAGTATGTGCGTCAATGAAAGTAATTGCTAAATAAAGAAACCTTCCAGCAATTTTCTCCCGAGTCAACATTCACAAGCTGTGGTTTAGCACTACCCTCCCTTTCGTGAAGCTGTAACGCGTTGCAGAGGTTACGAAATTCCCAGAATTGGTATCCATGAGGGTGGATACAGTCTAAAGGAAGTTCCCATCTCTGACTTGATGCTCATTTGTTTTTTGCTGTGACACCTTTTCCTCTAAGGTTACCCCAGGAATCCTGTCAATTGGTATTACTGTTGGATGCCAGGGAAGAGGGGAGGATATGAAAGGATTAGGGAAAACGCCTGAGGTCCCGAGGGCACTGTGAAATTTGGATGACTTATGAGATTCACTGGCTTTTCTGCTTTGCAGGATAAAGAAAGCATTTGAGCCATAAATCCTAGGGAAAAGGGAAAGGGAAACAGCTTTATTTTATTGTTATTTGAAGGGATGCTCTTACCTTCTCCATCGAAAATAGGCTGGGTTTCCATGGTAGGTGTTGGCTTCGAACCATCATCTGAATTGAGAGTTAAAAAGAATCGAAAAGAAACTACCATTATTGAGGTAAATACTATCTACTCTCCAGTACTGTTGAATGATTGGGATTTGTACATGGCCCGGCCAAGTCCAGAAGACAGAGAAGACAGACAGAACAAGGACAGCTCACCCTTACAGCAAAAAACATTTCATACAGTAAGCATGCATCAAGCACTACCCTTAGACTTAGAAGAAGCCTCCCCTCTCCCTTCCCAGACCATCGGTGTGCGTCACCTGGTAGTTGCCCCTTGTTGCACTGATCAGGCCATCACCTTTTTAGTTTCAGGTGGCCATATATCCCACATAATTTCCTGAGAAAGCACAAAGTCTGGAGCTTGCTGTCCCCCTGTCTCCTTATTCTTTTTTGTTCAAGAGGAAAACTCTTCTTCTGAAACTTACCTGTCCAGAACCTGGCACCAGCATTCCCTGCAGAGCTGTTAGAAAGGGATGGTCAATAGCAAACCTTTTTTTCTTACAATGTCTGCATTAAGGTGTTCTCTAATTGCAATGCTGTGGCAATGTCTTCTAATTGGAAAATCGTGGGGTAAGAACTTCTCCTACATTAGGTTTTCCATGCACAAGAGCACTCCATGTCTTCTGACCACAAGTCTCTCATAATTAAAAGCTTCAATCCAAACAGTTTCCACAAGAAATATCAATCTCAATATTTAGAGATGGACGAGAGGGAAAAGTGTTCCGTTTACAGCCTGTTTGATCTAGTGAACCTAACCATCATATCTACAGGCCCAGCTTGGATTCAGGCTGAGTCTAATTTCCTCAGTTCTCAGAGGGATCTGGATTTCAAGCCCCAGCTTGGAGCATCTTTACACAGCACCAGAACAGGGCCATAGCATTAAGGCAAAACTTCTGACTGTGGCCAAGCTGAGCTGGGACAAACTGTAGAGAAGTCTTCTGTTACATTGCAAGATTAGAAAACAGAATATAGTTGGGATGTAAACTAAAATGAGATTAGTCTAGACTTTCTTATTTTTTTTTCTTTTCGGAATACAGTGATTTTTAAAACTTAATTTGTAACAGCTATTTTTTTTGCATATGTTATGGGCAAAGATGACACTAGGCATCAGCAAAACGGGCAGTAACCTAGAATGCAAAGTTAAACAGTGAAAAATGAGTTGAAGGGAGGAGCCCATGGCAAAAACACCACGCTTGCCACCATCTCCACAGCTATTGGATGCACAGGGCAGACAACACTTAGAGGAAAGGTGCATGGGATGGTCCTTTCTAGAGATAGCCATAACTGCCTTCAGCCTTCTCTCACATTATTTCCAATTACAAAGGTAAGAGACCACTGAAAAGGGAAAGGAAGGGAAGAGATGGAAAACAGAGGCTTGCAGGCTATTTTTCCACCCCTACTTGTATCTGCAGTTTTATAGAGTGAGCAAAAACCTAAACACCTCATCCATAGATCATTATTTCATGTATTCCCACAGAAAGCAATATAATTCACAGAAAGCAAAAACATGCTGGCAATTCCATGTCAACCATAGAGATCCACTGCAGTAAAGGAGGTTGACAAAAAAGAGCAAGAGAAACTCTTGTCATTTTCCCTCTTCATCACTGTATTTGGTTTTATGCTTAACTGCAAGCATAGCAAAAAGTACTTCGAAGGAAAAAAAAATACTTACCATTCCCCAGTCAACTCTTGTTCTGAGTTTTGCCGTTATTGGGTATTACCAGTAACATGGATAAGCACTACTTTCCTTTAAAAGTTCGAGCAACTGATTTCTTGGAAACAAATCCCTGAATTTTGCTTCACTTACAAGAAGGGAGATTTTGCCCTTTAAAGAAATTTTTGGATAAAAGTAAATAGCTCATCTTCACTTTGTCAGAATAGGCTGCTCTGTTTCTGCAAGATCTCAGAAACCACAGCTAAGGCTTATTATTTATTTAGGATGACACTTCACACTGCAATGAAGTGGTGAGCAGTATGTAACGAGCACAAGTGGTTTTACAGATTGAGAAATCAATCCAAAACCATAAGAGATACTCATAGAACAACAGGAAAGGTAAATAATTCTTAAGTTACATAAAACAGGAAGAAATATGGCATTAAAAAAATTTACCAGTATGTTAATAAGTTTATTTCTATTGTTCTCATGAATGCTTGTGCACAGAGTAATTACAGAATTGCTTTTCAGATTTAAAGCAGCAACCCAGAAGCCTACAATGGAGAAAAATTAGAAGTGGATCTGAGCCACAGCCCTTTATCCAAACCATTATGTGAACTTTGGCAGAACTCAGGAAACTTCAGGTTCAGGGGGTTTCTTTTAGGCTCATGCGTGTGTGTGCAAACAACAGAGATAATAGCAACATCGATTTGGGAAGTACACTCTTCTTAAAGCGAATTTTGTAGCCGTTCTTGTATAAAGTTAGCCATTAAGCTTCTGGAGAGTCCTGACAGAATAAATGCAGCAAATAGATGAAAATACTAAAGTAGCCTTTGAACAGAGGAGTTTAAGATAATCTCAGTAAAATGGCTCTGTGAACTACACAGTTATTTCCTCACTGGGTTACTAAGGCCAAACTGTCCAAACTGTAGCAGCATCCAGTACAGTATTAAGGGTTTTACAAATAGAGAGAAGTACAATTACTCCCCTGTTGTTCGAGCAAGTACAGTTATTTCACCACACATATGAGAAAAAATACAATGGACAAGAGTCCTGTAATTACATTCACCATATTTCCAAAATCAAAAGCCAGGGATATTTCTGATTACTTTTTTTAAAGGTCATGAAATAGTCATACAAAAGATAAAAATTTCACTTTATTAAAAACACCATGCTCGTTTCCCAGCTTCCAGCTTTTTACTCTGAAACTACCAAATCAATTTCTTTAACTGGAGAATTCTCAGTAGATCTCAGTGTTTCAAATTAGCTTTTGGCAAAAAAGTTTCACTGTCATTCCCGTTGGGCAAAAGAACAACCCTAATACTTGACTGCTCTCATTTGGTTTTTCCTCTTGCCCAATACACTGTTCAACACACTGAACATTTGTTCCACTGGCCTGTTTGCTCCTGATAAATAAGGAACAAGTTCTATTTTACATACCTGAAAGTTTTGAACAAAGGTTTTTTTTATTCCTTAAAGAAGCATTTTAACATAGAGCACAAAAAACCAAGCTATTTCAGAAACCTACGGTGACATTATATGATATGTACAAGATACTGTTACTTTAGAACCAAAGGTAATGAAATATGTTCATCACGTACAATCTACTCCTTTCCTCAGGCAGCTATTAAACTCCACACTTAAAAAAAAAAAAAAAAAAAGGAAAAAAAGTGTGTAACTGAAATAGTTCCTCATGCAGAGCTCATCATGAACAGAGGGACCGAAGAGGTCAATTGAGTGCTTCCTAATTCCTCTAAATGGGAATGCTTCCAGATCAGGAACTCACATACTGCAGAACCATCAAAGATAACATCCCTTGGTCCAGAATATTCTCCAGGCCTTGATGAAGAGTGCATTGGCATGCTTCTCTTCCATGTTTTACAACCTAGCACAAATACGCACTTTCTTCTTCCAAGACAACCACTGAATAGAGACAGCATCACTCACAGACTACCTCCTGACGGGACATCATTTTAAAGCTGTAAAACTCCTTTCCAGTAACTTTTACAGCTCCTTTTCCTACGGTACACTTGCAAAAGTTGAACTGACTTTTATGGCTTAATTAGTGTCAACTTAAAAATGGTATTTTTACCTTATTGGTGGTAAGAATGAAACAAGGCAGGTCCAAACAAGTACCCCTAAGCCATTTTCACATGAAGACACCATGGCTATAAGCCAGAAGCCCACTTGCACCACTAGTGTCAGAAGCTCATAAGCTTAAGGACAGTTGACAACAACTCAGAGCAATTACTTGCATGCCCAGATCTACTGCTCGTGGCAGCAAAGACTCTTTATGATCCCAGTGGAACTCCTCTCCATTAGCCTTATCCTTGCAGAATATCTACCAAGCACCCACCCCTGGAACAACTGGGACTGATGGACAAGGAGATGCAGTTCACACGAAGGAGGACTGTTGGAGTGATCTTTTTACTCTGAATGGCAGGCACTGATGCCACAAGCAACTCAAGTTACGCCAGGAGAAAACTAAACTGCCTGACGTAGAAAAGGCAAAAATTACTGTGGAAAAATGTGAAGTAACTGGCTGCTGCTGCGAATCACTGTTTTTGACTCAAACCACCTAATGGGAGCTGGAGAAAGTAGGTGATAGTATTAACCTCCTATATCACATCACCTACCCAGGAAAACATACCCACTGCAAGAGTCACCTTCTTTCCAAGTAACCTCAACCTGCAGTCATCACTTTCAAGTTCTCACTGAAATCCACGAGACACTACAGAGTTTTCAAGAGGACTAGCGGTTTATGAGGTTGGCAATCTAGTCCTTGTACAAAATCTAGCAACTTCTTGTAAGTCTACAGCTTGAACATCAACAGTTCCCAGGCTTTGAGTCAGCCTGATAGAATATGATGACAATTTTAAGTGCATAGCTCTGCACTTAGAGGAGGCAGACTTCTTCCAGCATCAAGCGATTCCATTGCTTACCATGATCTGGGTTTGGGTGAGCCACTACAAAACATAGTTGAAGCTAAATGGGCAACTTGGAGAACCACAGGAATCCAGGACACTGAGTGAGTTCTTAGCACGTCCTGTTTGGTGCAGCAAAGCTCACCTTTAGTGAGTCTGTGAAACCAAAGGGAAAGGAGAAGAACTTTCCTAGGCTTGAGCACTCCTGAGGGGGCTCAAGTCATACAAACACCTTGCTGTGGCTTTAGTAACTCTGGTCGGATACATCAAAGACCTGCCAGGTCAAGCCAAGCTCTCTGTAGCTGTGCAGATCCTGAATCCTGAAGATGCAATTTTACAACTTTGACATTTCTGTGTCTTACCCCAGGCTCAAGGGAGGTGGTGTGTTTTAAGTGTTAAAAATAGACAACAAAACCTGTGTTTGCACTACAGGGAGTCTCACACAAAAATAGGTGTTCCTTCCAGTATTGTAGGGATGGAGTAAATTGTTGCCTTAATCACAATCTTTCTCTACATCAAGTGAAACAGTTTCAGCAAGTCATAATTAATTTAATAGTCTATGCAACTTCTATGCAGAGGCATATATCATCAATAAAAATGCAGAAAGTTAGCACTCATGCCAAAAAAAAAAAAGTGAAATTCTTACAATCCAGCCAAATCAAGATAATTTCTCACGAAGCAGCTGAAATAGAAATGCACCAGCACAGACAGAATTCTCTGCCAGGTTTTCACACTCTTTTCCATAGAATCATACACTCACTTAGGTTGGAAAAGACCTTTAAGATAATAGAGTTCAACCATTTCTATGCATAGAGATCCCACAGCTGTTAAGGAAAAAAAAAAAACAACAAAACAAAAAACCCGCAATATTTCTTTTTTCAAAGAAATCAGCAAAAACAAGTTCTTGCTCTTTATTAACTTCATTTTAAGAAATGGCAACAATAAGCTCCGTTTGGATATAACAACCCACAAGCGCTTGGGCATGCACCAAAATACAGAAAACTTTTGCTTAAAAAGGTGAAAATGTGCCCGAGTGCTGCACATGAAAGGGCTCTGTCTGGCTTAAGGAGCTCTTCGCTGCAAAGGTCGATTTCTCGGCACAATGATTTCTCCCTTCCTACATCAACTATTCTGCAAGCCCTACAGAGCCGGGCAGCGTTTACTTCAACGCTGCACTCCAGGCATCATCCAGATAGGACGAGGAGCCTTCCCCTTCTGGAAGGCATTAGTTCCCCCCGCTTCCTCCTCACAGCTCCCTCGCAGGTGCATCAACATGAGAAAAAGGAGCCCCTCAAGCCCCGAGGACTTTGTGGTCCAATGTAGTCAGTGCATTTGTATGGCAGCACAATTCTTAGCCCTGCGAGAAAGCCTGTCCCACGCACAGGCAGCTGGAAGTAACTCTGACCCCCATGACACAATTCAAAGCCTCCTCTGTTTGGCTTTTTGATTCCTGATTGACACATTCACTGCCAGGCAGAGATAAATGCTGCTGGGAGGACAATGTTGATCTGCTCTAACTATTCTTGTGAAGGACTTTTTCAGAATAATAAACAACAAAAAAAACCCCACCACATTGGTGTGCTTACGTGTATGAATAGAACTGGAGATAGACAGAGAGGGGACCGGAGTGCCT